CATCTGCCTTTCTGTCGCAGCAAAAGTTCACGTTGACGCACGCATTGTTTTTGCCAGTACACTCTAAATATTAAAATGTATCGATTATTTATAATGCGATTATTAGAAATTTTTAAAATATAATCTAATAAATAAAATAATATCAATTTTTATACATTTAATAACAGCTGTTGACTGTTGTCTCAATCGCCCAGCAACTTCAAACAGAGCATCTGCCTGCATCTCTTGCGGAAATTATTGCCTCTGGGTTCATTCTACCAGATTTTGCGTTTTTTTGCGTCTCTAGCAATTCAATCTGCGCTATAAAAGTCAATTAATTTAAGACAATCAAGCGAATATACGCGAATATTATGGTGAATATACGGCCTTCAATACAGCGACAAGATGCGGCGAATTCGATCCTCGGCTTGCGTCATGTGATATGTTCTAGAGGTCTGGACACGAATGAATTTGGCCGGGGGGTTATCTTGTGTTAGCTTAATTAATATTGGCGGAGATTTGACGCTATCGTTCAACTCCGCCAATATTCAACATGTGGTAATTTTTTTTCAACATATTTTGAACGTTGAAGTTGTGATGGGTGCTAAATTCGCGGCATGTTCAATGTCCGGTTTAACTTCAATGTCAAAAACACATGGGTGTTCAATGTCATATTTAACTTCAATGTCGAAAATATGTTGAATGTTTTGCATGTTCAATGCCAGATTTATCTTCAATGTCGAAAGCACGTAGGTGTTGAATGTCCTATTTAACTTCAATGTCGAAAATATGTTGAATGTTCTGCATGTTCAATGTCAGATTTATCTTCAATGTCGAAAGCACGTAGGTGCTGAATGTCCTATTTAACTTCAATGTCGAAAGCATGATATACATGAATATTGGCGGTGATATGACGCCATAGACGTCAGCTAGGACGTCAGGGCTAAGCAGAGGACTGGGACTAGGATGTCGTCCTAATGTAGTCCCAGTTCTCTGCTTAGCCCTGACGCCCTAGCTGGCGTCGACGCCGTAGATCTTAAGCTGTCTAATACTCATTAGACTATGCTTTTCCAAACGTGACAAAAATATCAGGCCGTTACTCGTTAGTGTTATATATCCAGTCATTCGTGTTATATATCAAGTCGTTCATGTTTTATATCAAGTCTTCGACTTCGTGTTTTATATCAAGTCTTCGTGTTTTATATCAAGTCGTTCATGTTTTACTGATATCAAGTCGTTCATGTTCTATATAGATCAAGTTCTTCATGTTCTATATATATCAAGTTCTTCGTGTTATATGTCAACTCGTTTGTGTTTGTATCAAGTCGTTCGTGTTTTACATCAAGTCGTTTCGTGTGTTACCACAGGCGGCCCAATCTCAGAATGAATTATCAGGTGTTGCGGGTTTTTAACGGTTTTTATTAACAAATTTATAGTCAACCGACCATTCTAAAAACATTCTCAAATTAGTCAAATAAATACATTTTAACAAAAAAAAAATAGTTGACATGATAGTATAATACCTTTGCATTCTTTTAATTACCTATTTTAATTAGCTCATTTAGAGCGGTTGATGTAACATTTTCTGTGGCCTACATTGTGTGTTGCTCATTATAATATAACAGTAAAAGGCTAATCATTGGCGGCCCGACCGCATCGCCTACAATTACAAAGTCAAATATCTCCGCTCAAATTTGTCGTACAGCAAAACAAACTCGATCAATTACATCTTTTCACAAAGATTTCTCTTTCTAAATAATATGGTTTGATCATAGCTTGGGCAAATTTAGCGACAAACGGAACCAAAACCTCCTCAATTTCGGATATTTTCAAAATACTTATATAGAGCTGCTCGGGCACGATCATGGACGTGACGTAATTAATAAATACTGACAATACCGCGCCTTACCGCCTTACTTGGGGTGGGACAGCATCAAGCGACAAATTATCGTCGGATTTGATATGACATTTGAATGATCTCATGTGGTTGTACTTAATATTGACTAGAACTGTAATATTGGTACACCCTATAGCTGCCCAGATACTGTTATTAAATGACTAAAGTGATTAGCTTAAAATTTGATTACTAAGTTCAGACTGCAAACTAGGGTAACGAACCATTACAGAAAGCGTGGGGTGGACCATTCTCGTCCCCGCAGAGCCATTTTCACTTGGTCACTCGTTGAAAATTAGGCTCTGGGTTAGACGACTAAAAGGACAGATCAGATTGGCTTCTCAGAGAAATGCTATTTTGCAGAAGTTGAGCAGTTTTCGCTGGGAAAAATTATTCTATGAACATATGTCAACGCAAGTACTTCGTTTCTTCGAAATACTTCACTTTGAAGTTGTTACGGGTGGTAAAGTGTCCTAATTCAAGAGCATGCGCTTTAGAAACTACTGCAAGTTTTCTCCCACTTGCTGTTCCGTATGTCCCAGTCATAGATATAGGAGATCTAGATTGCTAACGCATACCTAGCGCAGGCGGGGCCTACATGATAAATCCAAGATGGCGGTACAACAGAGCAAAAAGACTATAAATTCTATTACGAAAATCAGGATTTTTGCATTTTTTGCTGTCGCATTGGTTTGAAACTTATTCGGTCAAATTTTATGGTAAAGAGAAACTTACCGCGAAGATTTTGAGCATATATATATGATTGAATTGGATGAAAACTCGCAAAATTATCCGATCGATAAAAGTTCGTGTATAGTACTGATATAGTACTATATATGTAACTTGTACAGTTTTGCTTTAATTTTTGCTCACTATTTGCATAAAAAGAAAATTATAACAGACCATAGATGATAGACCCTCATCAGCAGTGCTCTCATCAGTTTACTTCTCTAACAAGCCAGGAGGGGGGGAGGGGTACATAACAGTTCATTTTTCATAATTATGAAGACAGAGCAGATGATGATGAGAGATGCAAGTATAAAACACCATTCACAAGGCTAGATGTTAACATAGCACAGTATTTCTGGCAATAAAACGCTCCAACTGACCAACTGACCATTTCACACGAACTTTTATCGCTGGATAATTTTGCGATTTTTCATCCAATTCAATCATATATATGCTCAAAATCTTCGCGGTAAGTTTCTCTTTACCATAAAATTTGACCGAATAAGTTTCGAAACAATGCGACGGCAAAAAATGCAAAAATCCTGATTTTCGTAATAGAATCTATAGTCTTTTTGCCCTGTTGTACCGCCATCTTGGATTTATCATGTAGGCCCCACCTGCGCTAGGTATGCGTTAGCAATCTAGATCTCCTATATCTATGGTCCCAGTGCCCAGGAAGGACGCGCGCGGCCGACAGGCCCTGGAGATGAGGATGGGGGTGGACTTGATCAAATTCCCTGATTCAAGTCAAGTGTAGCTATTGACTCGACTTAAACCAGTGACTCGACTTGACTCGAGTGAAGCCGCTGACTCGACTCGAGTGAAGCCACTGACTCGACTCGATCAGAAACTGAAATGACTCGACTCGATCGTGACTCGACCTTTGAGTGACTCGACTCGTGACTCGACATGTAGGTGACTCGTTACGACACTGCCATGCTCACAAGTCATAATGTACAGTAAATACCATACGAAGTAAACTCGAGTATATAGCCCATATTCAGCAACGTAAGATTTGTTTTCATAACAGACGAAACATAGGGTTACATTAACCTTCAATTATCTCTATGAGCTCGGGACAACATTTTATCCCCGGACAATGAGTTGTTGGGTAAGATTTCTTGTGTTCACATGCCCCGGGACAAGTACTCAAAAATGTGCGGGAATTCAGAAACGTTTGCCGCTAAACTGAAACGATTTGAAAGTCTAAGGAATATGCAATTTAAAATATGTTAGTGAATGCAAATATTGTTTTGCTTTGCGCTGTTTTAGCTAATTTAACCACAATTGTTGCTCTACTGCAGCTATATTCATTTGCTGTTGTTTCTGGATCAAAGAATCTTTGAAAATACTTGAGTTTGTCCCGGGATGAAAATTCATTGCGTTCACATGCGGTAAATTTGTCTCGGTAGGGCGAGTGTCCCTGTCTCTAGAGGCGAGTCACCCGAGGCAGTTGTCGCCCCTGGACAAGTTGAAATGTCATATGAACAGAACTATAGTTTTACATAACGTGCCGAGACAATTTTTTGTCCCGGGAAAAAAATTGTCCCGGGATAACATGTTGTCCCGGGCTCATGTGAACAGGGTCTAAGAGTTTAGGTCTTTGTATACATAATACAGCGATGGAGATATTTATATTTCGCTATGTGCGTTCACTGTATGCCCGTTTTACAAGTCAAAAAATATACAACATAATATGATACAAAAAGATTTCTCTCGCGTGCCCAAATACACAGTCGCATTTATAGGACAAAGCTAAGGAATCTCATTTTTTAAGGAATTTTTTAAGGAATTTCTTACAATGTAACGCTGCATGTATATCCAAAAATCTGTTTCAGAAAATGCTCACATTTCAGTCCTATGAACCCTAGGGGTGGAAAAATACAAAAAAATTTTCTGGCGGAGAATACCCCCAGACCCCCCTACTAGTACATACGATACCACACCAAACTTTTTGTCACCAACAACCATGCATCTGTCATCTCTCCACACTCAGTATAGTATATGGTCCCTTTTTGTAGATGCCGCAATATTTATTATGGGGAGACCTGTATTGAAAACTTTCGAAAATTCCACCTTATGTATATCACTCTTATAACCCCCCATCTTGATTATAGAAGCTACATCTGTACTAGTCAAATATAAGATCTGTATTCAGCGGTAGTCACATGCGCGCTTTGCGTGCCTATTTTTATAAGCTGAATCGTCCAAATCATTATTACCTCAGGATATACATAGAAACACTGACCCTCGAAACATCGACAACCTTATTCGAGTAATCGAAGATAACACATCCATGGCCTGACGCATCTACCTTGAAAAACCAGAGTGATATTCCCCGTGCAAGACGAGATATGTGACGTAGTTATTGAAAGAATCTATTCCTTTCTTTTTCAAGGTAAGAAAGATATCCAAGTGCTGGAAGCGCCAATAACTGGCGGCGTTGCTCTGTTGCGGCAAAGTAAAATGACGGTACTTGTGGGTGGAGACGAACATCTGTTTAAAGAATGTTTGCCCATCCTTCAACAGACCAACAAGGTGGTTCTCCACATGGGAAAAATTGGAACTGCCACGATTGCGAAGGTCATCTCCAACATGCTGGCTGCCATTAATAACGTAACACTTGGGGAAGCCATGATGTTGGGAAAGAAGGGTGGCGTGGATCTGAAAGCTCTGTTTGACGCCATTAGATTTAGCGCAGGAAACACGTTTGTATGGGAAACTCAGGTACCACTGATCTTCAATGGTAGCTATGATCCTGATTTTACCCTTAATCTTCACTGCAAAGATTTAAACCTTGGTTACGAATTGTCCCGTAAATTTGGAGTTCCTATTGAGACGTTTGCGCTGGCTGAGCAGATAGTCAACCGCGCTCGCCTTAGGTACGGGGATGAAGCAGGATCCACTTTCCCACCGAAATTATTGGAAGATGATCTGAACGAGCCATTGCAGATTGACGGCTTTGAAGATTGGACATACTCGGTTGAGCATGTTGGCGGTTCGATGGCTGTTGTGCATACTACAAAGGACAAGGCCTACAATGATGAACAATAATTATTGTTTTTTGTACGTTTGCATGGCGATAAAGCATAGTTTTGTTTGTGTAAACACCAATAATAGTTTTGTTTGTGGAAACATCACGTAAATTTATTACTGCAGTAATCCCTATGGCAGTAATAAATTTACGTGGTGTTTCCACAAACAAAACTATTATAATAATTATTGTGTGGGGACAGTAAGTTTATTAGAGACTTTAATTTTACAATTGCTAAAAATCTCGCAATTGCCATTTGTATAGGAAACATGAATGTTTTCACAAATTGTATTATACTATTTTTTTAACTGCATATATTTATTCCGCATATATTACAAGGTGCTCGCGCAACAGCATAAAATTAATTTTATGAGTTAATGATTTAATAATTAACTTTTCAGAATCAACGATTGAATTGCACGTTCTTATACATTTTACCATAGCATATAAAATACATCAATCAAGCTTAAGCTCTAAGAAGAGTATAAAAATATAGTTAGAAATTTTAATCTAGAACTATACGTATCAGTTCTAATTAATTGCACATGGAATAAAACTATTAATTATATGAACATGAGTGTTATATAGACTTTTTCGCCACTGAGAAAAATCGTATTTGAACACACGTAAAAAATACGATATTTTTACGTGTGAGCCAATCAGAAATCGCGTAGGAAATATGTTTGACCAATCAGAGATGTTGTAACGTACCACGCTTTGCCAGCTATAACTGTATTTTGTTTATATAATAAACATAATATTACATGGTTGCTTTATTTCTCGTGTTGAAGAGAATATTGCTTACTCGTTCGCTACGCTCACTCGTAAGCAATCTTCGCTTCAACACTCCAAATAAAATCCATGTTTCCACGCAACCATATAATATTCTCTATTTCCAAAACGCTCAGCGGTCAGCTTTAATAGAGCTAAGTCGTTTCATTTAGTGTCATTTCGTGAGTTATAGTGATGTTCACTACTAGATGGTTAAAGATTAAAAAGACGATTGGCACATTTATCCAACTAACTATTTAGCCAAACAACCAATCAGCGTAACCATGTACATATACATCTTGTATGTACGGGGGTGTACGTATACACCGTGTACGTATACACTTCGTACGTGTACGTATACACCTCTAGAGTCTAGTATAAATACACTTCCCCATAATCATCAGTCACACATCAAAATGGAACGTATAGGAGTTCTACCAGCGCCCGAAGACGTAATACAGACAACCACTATACCTCTATTTGGAATCTTGGCAGAGAATACAACAGAACAGGGACAGTGCTATTTTCTGTTTTTGAACATATTGATGTGAAAGAACAACTTGCCATGACAACGGAATGCTGTAAACAGAAAGCTCATTCCCAATGTTTCCGAATGTGGGCGGCGCTATACTTTCTTACTTATATTTTCGAACGTTGCATCAAATTCAAATTCAAACTCAAGTGTGACAGTGAATTCGTCGAATAGCCGAATTCATATTAGGGACGGGAAACTCGTCTTAGACGGGAAACTCGTCTGCGAAAACCCGTCTGAGTATGAATTTAGGGACGGGTAAATTCGAATTTAAGACGAGTTTCCCGTCTAGACGAGATTCCCGTCTAACTTTCCCGTTTGTTTAGACGGGTAAGTTAGACGGGAAAGTTCAGACGGGAAACTCGTCTGCGCCCGGATTCATATTAGACGAGTTTCCCGTCTCTAATATGAATTCGGCTAATAAGTGCTGTTCAAAGATCAAGGACAATGGAACTGACAAATTCAAGTTCAGTTTCACGAAGTAACGAATCATTCACGAGTGTCATGGCATCTAGTACAGAGGGAGTACCCAGCTCTGGGATAGTTACTCCCTCTACCACTTACGTGGCAACAGCTCCTGCAGCAGCTTTGTCATCCATCTCACAATCTCAAATCAGTCCTAGTTCGCAGACTGCGACAAGTGACTCTGCTGTCAGTTCAAATTCTGTAGCCGTCGGCAATGTCTCAATACAAGCTGCAGCACAGTCCAGTTCAAATACTGGTACCCGCAGTGCTTCAGTGCAACTAACAACTACTACACCATCGAAAGCAGGTGTGTGCCCGAATTTTTGCTTATCTGAGGAATTAGTTTTAATAGAATTACTCCAACAATAAATGTATTAGTATTTCTTGTGATAAACATATTCTTATATTTTCTATTTGTAGGATCAGTTGTGCAGCCTTCTTCGTCAATATCCTACAATGGAAGTAAGTTTGATCAAATTTCTTCTGTCATCAACAGTATGCACGTTTTGAATTCACACGAGCACCGATATGCTGTTATATATCTATGGATAAAAATATTTACTGCTAACTGTAGAATTTCCCTATACTGATAGCTTTTATTCTCCATAAAAATAATATTTCAATATAAAGAATTTCTAACTCGATTATGAATGAAAAGTCCACTTTTTTGCGTGCGTGCTGTATGTACTGTTTAATCCACCAATTGTAAAGAAGAGTTAGAAGACAATTTTTTACCGGAAAACTCTGTGCTGATTAAATTTCCCTATATTGTGTGATTAGTAGTTAAGCCTAGCGAGACTTTAAGCTAGCTACCTGTCTGATGCAACCAGAAGACTGGTATAGACCCATTGCACATGACATCACAGCCCGCCGGTGACGATGTATCTGGAGGACAAATTAGCAATCTATGCATAATATAACTTTATAATAATTTTGTATTAAAATGGTTAATTTTTGCGCTGTATGTGGTTGTTGTACCCGAACAGATATTGTTAGGGAGCTTTTTGAGGACACTCTAAGGATTTGTGACGTCAGTGCAATGGGTCTATAAGTGCCTAAAGCTCCGGTAAAACGAGCGTAAGAGTTGACGAAAATTGATGCCGAGAGTTGTCTTTCTCGTGTTTGATTGCCCACTGACTCTCATTGACTTTGAGCAGGTTCTTTCTACATGTAGTTTTATATTGCAACTTTTTGTATTATTTTTACAAGAATCTTGTCACACGTGTTTGTATAACAAAACTGGATACTGTGAGAAAGCGACAGATAAATGTGAGGGTAAAGAGACCTACTGTTACGATTTCAACACTGACCATATGGAAGGACGGTAGTCATGAAAATGGCAAAGGTTGTGCTCCTTCAGAATATTGTGTTGATAGTCAGGCTGATTGATGTGAAACACTAAACAAAAGTACAAAACTAAGAATGGCAACATCAGGGAGTGCAGCTGTGCAGCATCCATTGTTGTGATTCACATTTGTGTAACGACAAGGCTTCACGTCTGGATTGCTCGTGTCCTGGATTGTCATCACTATAGGGTGTGTGTGTGGGGTGTAACATCCCCCCCCCCCCCAAATAATTCAAACGTTGGTCAAAGTTGGTCAAAATGGAACTGATGTTTGCATAAATTTGAAGGTAAAACTCGGGATAAAAGATGACCAACGTTGCTCAAAGTTATGAAATGGTTCGCAATTTTAACAATTTTAAAGCTTTTGTTATGTTTGCGGTGAAAAAATTGGAAGCTTTGTTTATTCTGGTTGAAAAATTTTGAATATGCTTATGTTAGTCCGGAAAATTTTTTTGACCTCCCCACCCGTCGACAACATTGTCGGGAAAAATTTGCACGACTTGGTCCTGAAAATCCTAGGAAATGTTGGTCAAACCATGACGACACCCCCCACCCCCCAATGTTGATCGCTTCGCGACGTCCCTGATTGTCATCTTTCATCTCTTTACCTCGTTACATACTGTAAACACTGTTTATTCAAGACCTTATACTGTATATATCAAAACTGTTCTCATATTAATATGTACTACAAACGTTTTAAATAGTACTTCATATATCAGAATGTTACATTTATAGTGCCAGTGGCGGGCGGCCATGTTTTAGATTCGTTCAAATTCGATAATAAATTGGGGAGGACAATGTTACGTATCTTGGGCGCATCTATGAAGCTCTATGTGACTATGGTTTCCCACTGAATTGAATTGTCACTAAGTATGTCTGAATTCAATATTTGACACTGTCGAAAGGTGATTTATTAAAACCTTTCCATTTTCCTCCAAGTGCCTCCGGAATGCCCCCGGACCTCCTGAAATTCCGATCCCCCCCCCTCAAGAAAAATCCAGGCTGCGCAACTGAAAAGTACGTCAAGACTATATGTATCAAGACTATATGTACGAAGTTAAAAAACAACTTTGTGCACCATACAGATACAAATATTACATGATATAATACATTTTCAATAAAATATATTGAAATTCAGGCTTTCTGAAAGTTCCAGGAACCCCTGAATTATAAACTCCAGGTGACATACTTTCTATATACGGGTGGACCGTAGCCAAGAACACTCCAGTAAGTAGCTATGCATGCATGCATACACACAGACATTAATTATCAGACAAAGCAAATTCCGTGAAATAAACATTCTGTTACCGATCGGATTGACAACAACCTTGTTACAACTTGATTGCCAGCATGACTGCATAATTCCACCTAAAACGTCCGAATTTAGTAATAACGTCGCGACGCATGTAGAACCTAATGTAACCCTAATCTAATCTTGATCTGACCCTAATCTAATCCTGATCTAAATCTGACGGCCATTTGAAAAACTACTCCACCCCTGCATGTCTAATGCTTGTGGTAGGCTATGTCTTAATTTTGGAGATTTTCAAATTTAAGCCATATCCTTAATTTTCGAGACATAACCTTAATTTTGAGGAGGGATCATGTTGTCTTGTTGACCATGATAGATGTCATCAGGGGAACAGAAATATAGGCTAAAAGCTATTGAAATTCAAATCAATTCTAACAAGATAATGAACGGCCGCTTATAAGGAACGTTATGCCTTGCTGAGACATTCCCACGAAATGCCGTTATTAGTGAAATATCGGTCTGGGACAAAAACATTTTATGTATAATTTTTTTGTCTGTAGTGTAGAAGATTTTAAACAAACAAATTCACATAGAATCCACTCATGCATGCTACCATAAACTCTCACAAATTTAGTGTTATTTTTTCCCTGAACTATAGGTTTGGCCATTACGACTGCATAATTGGCGATACATACCAGACTGAGTGCTTATATATAG